CTCCCAAATGCTGCGGAAAGAGAAACACATTCAGTGACGCCTGTTCCCACTGCTGCTGTGGTTGCACTGGATGAGAAACGTGTCTGTGTATCGAATCGCCGCATCTATCAAGTGGATCATGCCTTTAGTAGTAATGATAATACAGAACTTATCTTTTACGAAAGTGTTGTCTCTCTTATAGATCGATTTCTGGATGGATATAATACCACTGTGCTTGCGTATGGACAAACGGGTAGTGGAAAGACATACACAATGGATGGACTCACACCATTGGTGTTGCGGTATATTGTGGAACAAATGGGTGGAGTGACATCACAGTTAAGTTTTCAATATGTGGAAGTATATGGTGAGGCGTTGCGGGATTTATTAACAACAGATCCTATTGGTTCTACGAAGCATTTACAGTTACATGATGCAGATAACAGTAATGTGAATAATGGAAATAATGGAGGAGGAACAACAACTGTTGTGGTAGTGGGAGCAACTCGTGTAAAGGCACGGAATATGGAAGAGGTGTATGATATTATTAATCATGGATCTCGTATGCGAACTACCGGGGCAACGAATATGAATGAACACTCTTCACGTAGTCATAGTATCTTTACGATATTTAACCATCAAAGACGTTCAAAGTTAAATCTTGTGGATCTTGCTGGATCAGAACGTAATAAAAAAACATTAAATGTAGGACAACGATTTCGTGAAAGTATTGCTATTAATGGTGGTCTTTTAGCATTAGGTAATGTTATTAGAGCACTAAGCCGAAATCATTTTCAATGCCCTGATAATCCACGTCATGTTCCCTACCGTAGTAGTAAACTCACACGTCTTTTACAAGATTCACTTGGAGGAAATAGTGTCACTCTATTAATTGCTTGTGTGGCTTCAGATGCTCTCAACACAGATGAGACCACACGTACACTACAATACAGTGCTCTCTCTATGCATATATTGAATGAACCGCTACCTCAATTTGATGAAAGAGTAGCAGCATTAGCGGCTGAAGCAGAAGAAAAGAAAAACGGTGAAGGACGTGCGGATAATATTTTGTATGACGGACAATATCCATCCACTGCTGCTGCTGCTGTTGAGGCTAGTAATACGAGAGAAGTGTTGGGATTGCGAGAACGTGTTGCGGTGCTAGAGGAACAAATGCAACGCTGTTGTGAAGAGTTAAAGAATGATGAGAGGGTTTTCGCACAACAAATACATGATATGAAGCGATTGTTAGAAGAAAATGAATCGTTAAAGCGTCGAGTGGCATTCCTTGAAGGTCGTCCTCATCCCTCACCAAAAGTTATTGCTGAAGAAAGAGCAGCGGAAATGAATACGACTACTACTACTAGTATTCCACAAGGACAACAACAACAACAACAATATCAATATCAATGGATATCTGGTTCTACTCCACCTAGTCTAAACTATATGCAGAATGTACTGCAATCGCGTGGAAATGTACCCCAACATCACACAGAACTATTTCCCAATTCGAGACCGACCACCAGAATCCATAATGTGGGTCTCTCTGAAGGAGAAACAATGATGGAAGCTGGAGGGCAGCAACAGGATCTTTATCAAGATGTTTCAAAGATATCAAAGATTGGTATGGGGTGGAATGAAGGGGTAGCAGCAGCAGCAGCAGCAGCAATGAATGAGTCCATTGGTGTGGGAAAAGGTACCAATAATAAAAATAATAATAATGATAATTATTATTATCCCAACCATGATGGTGACCGTATGATAGAGATTGAGAAAGCAAATAAAGAAAGAGAAGAACAGCTTAGTTTACTGGCGAAGGAAGCCTTATACTACCAGAATAGTAATAGTGAACTTCGACGCCGACTTCGAACTGTACTTGAATTGTATGAAGCTCAACAACGTGAGGCGACTATGTTACGTCTTGAAGTTAAACAAATACACGATTTATTGGAGAGTGGATCTCGTTCGTGATAAATTATCATTTGGATTGTATTCACTTCAGCTATATTGATTACGTTAGACGAATTTATGCTTTTTGTTATTATTATGTCCTTTCTTTTTTTTATTTTATTTATTTATATGATCATCTCTTTCTTTGTGCTTTGTGTGGGAATTTTTCTTTCTTTATGTCTTGTCTTTTATTATTATTGTTTGCTTTTGCTTTTTTTATAGTTTGTATTTATGATGTTCAATTATTTTTGTGTGCTTGTTCGTTTTTTTTTTTGTTTTTTTTTTTTTTACGTCCTGTATACCAATTTCTCTTACGACAGCTACAAATAGTAGTCATACCCCCTTCCTTCCTCCTCTCTCCCCTATTTCCACCATAGAAGTATTATTATTATTTATTTATTTTATTTATTTTTCCATATTCTTATGGAAGTCCATATATATATATATATATATATATATATATATATGCAATTACTTATCCTTCATACACTTTTTCTTTTCTTTTTCTTATTTTTATTTCCCCTTATTCTATCACTCCATTCTCTCTCTCTCTCTCTATTTTCTTTTCTTTTCTCCTGGAGTAGTTTCGCAGCTCTGTGTGTGTGTGATGGAGGGCGAGAAGGACGGCAGCCGGGCCGCCGGCTCCCCCACCACGCGCAGATCCCCCGCCACCCCAACGCCCCCCCGCGGCACAAATCCGCCGCCCTCAACTTCCGTCGCCGCCGCCGCCGCCGTCGATTCCCTGCGGAGACGCCACGTGCAGGCAGAAATGCGGCTGCGCGAGTTGGAGGATCGCTTTCGACGAGACTGTTCACGTCAAGAACAGGAGTTGGAGCTCCTACGTCTGGATAACACAAAGTATAAGGCGAAGATTGAAGAACTGCGTATGGCACAGGCCGATGCACAACCAAGGACTAGTCTCACCAGCACAGACTCCAAATTGTTACGGGCATCCTCACGCAAATACCGCTCTGCACGTGCCTGTGTAGAGAGAGCTCGTGAGGAATTAATGGAAATAAACGCTAAACTGGTTTCAGCACGACAAAGACTGCATGAACTGCGTCGTCGTCGCAGTACTTCACACAAACTTTCCGTTACAAGTGCCGCACGATCACGACAAAGTCGTACCGATATTGAAATCCGCGCTCACGCCTCACGATTGCAACTCCGTGGACTTGAAGCACATGTGGAGACAGAAACAGATCGTCTTTCAAAGCTAATGGATGCGGTAAAAACTCTGCGTGAAGATATTGATGTCCAGTTCACCGCCCAAAATCGCAGTGATGATTTATACAGTGAACGTGAACGAGAGTTGCTAGATGTAATGCGAGAGACCTCTTTTCTTGTGGAGGTGTGTAATGTACTCTTTGAAGAACGTGATGATTGCCAATTACAGCTTGCAGAGATGCAGCGTACTGCAGCGGCTGAACATGAAGCCTATGAACATGCCTTTGTAGAACTTGTGGCTGTAGAGGATCGTGATCGTACGACCAAGACACGTCTTCGTGAGAATCTCGTGCGATTGCAGGATGATGTTGCGGAGGCCGTTCGTGAAAGAGAAGCGGCGGAACTTGTGGTGCGAGAAGAGCGGGCGGCACTACAACGTGGAACTGTCGCGACACGGGGAACATCTTCCACCGCATCCAATGGAGGAATGGGTTTGGAGGGAAGTAATGAGCGGGAAGATGTAGATGATGATGGAAATGGAAGTGAAGGTATTCAACGGCAATTAGAGGAATTTGAACGGTATCTCACTCGACTTGCACAACTTGCTGGATCTGATGATTTAGATGATGTGCAGCGATTTGTGTGTGGTGGTAGTGATGAACGGTTTCAATTATACACAGCACTTAATCATATTCGAGATGATATCAGCAAACTTGAACAAGAACGTGATGCGCTTTTGCGGGAAACTGCTGCTAATGAAATGGGAATAGAAAAGGGAGAGGGAGGAGAAAAAGGAGAAGAAGGTGCCGTACAAGAGCGTCGAATGCGTAAAGAAGTGGAAGAGCTTCAAGAGAATTTACGAGAGATACAACGCGTCACACTGGATCATGTTCAACATGCAGAGTGTGCAAAGACATATCTGGACTCCACACTACCTGTGATAGATTCAATCTTTACAGCACTGGACTGTGATGATACTCGCATTGTGGCTGAACACGGCTCTCGTTTCTTATCACGAGAAACGTTAGAACTCTTTCTAGCATCTATTGAACAACGATTGGAGGAGTACATGGCGGTTTGGGTACAAAGCAGACCACAAAAACAACAAGAGCAACAACAACAACGACAACGTTTGTTACTCGCAAATCCTAAATCGACTACTACTACTACAGCAGCAGGGAAAGCTACTATATCACCACGGTTACTTCCCTCAACAGGTGATCAGCAAGAGGAAGACGCAATTTTACGTGATCGAAGCATTGCAGAGGAACCTATCCCTACTGAAGTTATTCGCGCAGCAGTAACTAAAGAATATCAACGGAATTCTAGTGGAGCTCTTGTGCAGAAGAAGTGAAATGTGAAGGTCTTTCAACAAGAACAAATATAGAAGAAGAAACAATTACACAAACTCTTTTTTTTTCTTTTTCTTGAAAAAGAGGTCTCTTTCATTTCTCTTTATTTATTGCCTCTTTATTATGGATAGTTATTGCTTTTTGGTTTTGCTTGTTGATAGATAGGTGATGGTAATCGCCCCCTTTTCTTTTTTTATTATTATCTAAGTACACAGTCATTGTGAATCTCTTGAACGTTACACATGTCAGAGTTTAGCATATATATATATTATGTATAAATTCTTCATGTTAATTTTATTTGTGCGTGATGGGGTAGTTGATTGGTTAACTATGATTGTATGTATTTTCATAACTCGGCGTAGTTTGTCTTCTAGAGCTGCATATTGTCTATAGATGAAGATTATTGCAGCGTATACATACATATATTTATTTAAAAATGTATATGTATGTTTTTTATCTGTGTTTGTGGTGATATGTATGTTTATTCCCGTTTTTCTATGTTTCTATTTCCTTTTTTTGTTATTTTGTTTGTGTTCTTTTTGACTTAACTTTACTTGGGTTTCTATTTTGTATTACATTTCTTTTTCTCATTTTCTTATTTTTTCTTTTTTCTTTATGTTTCTGAGTGGTTTGTTTCGCAAACCTTTCTTCTACACATAAACTTTAGAGGATTAACCGCTGACATATTTTATCCTAAGGCTCCTTTCTGAGGATTTTTTCAGTTCTTTTTTTTTATCCTTTTATCTCTGGGATCTGTTAAAGTGCTGATCCAAAAGACTACTACAGTCATTCTTCTCATATTCTACTCCTATTGGTGGTGTTGTTTACGATGTCTACAATGCCTGCATCTATTAAATGGAGTTCGCCCCTTCTGCAAAACCGCCTGGCAACACAAAGTAGTGGTAAAGATTGTTTTCGCAATGAAGCTCTTCAATGTGCGGCTTCCATTATGCGAAGTGAAGCAGCCCGTGTGGATGGACGTCTCTGTGAAGATTTTGGTGCTATTTTACGTGGGAATACAGTCTACATTCGCCGCTTTATCTCTGATGAGGATGATTTGACATTGTATAATCGTTTAAAGGCAGAGTTAGTGGCTGCGACTGGGGCAAAGATGTCACTTGATGGTGGATTAATTGAATGGAGTCGACATCAAATATTTGAAAATCCGACAGGTATTAGTCCTGTATTTAATGAAATTATTGATATGCTAGCGGAGTATTTTGATATTGATGTGTATGCAACTAGATTAAATTACTACCGTGATGGACAACAGTGGAAGCCACAACATCATGATAGTCATGCCTATGGAAGTAGTATTAAAAACAATGGAAATGGAAATGCTGAAGGAGAAAAGTTAAAGGAAGATTTCACCGTTGGTATCACACTTGGTGCTACTCGAAGTCTTCTTTTTATACATGAGTCATCTGGATATAAATTTGAGTTTCCACAACGTAATGGTGACTGTTTTGCCTTTACAGGTGAGGTAAATACAACCTTTACTCATGGTGTACCTCGTGTGAATACACCAATAGGTGATCGCTTTAGTATTATTGCTTGGGGTCGTCGTCGGACGTTAAATGAACGTAATGGAGGAAAGCCGGCAGAATCTATAGTGCGACTGCAGGACGGCAGAGAAGTGCAGACAGTGGAGGATGCTATTCGGGCAGCACAGCAACTGGTCTCACGTTCAGCTACAACATCCACAAATGTTGGGGTAACTGAAGTTGCAAAAAAGAAAAAGAAAAATCGACTACAATAGAAATACGAGAAATAAAAGAAAAAGATAGAAAGAGAAGGACATATAAATTAGATAGATTTATTATTGAGGTACGAATAAAGGTTGGTAATGAGAAGAGAAGTTGTGTCATTTGCAGCGGTGTGGTGAGGGGTTGGGCTGCAATATATAAGTATAACACATAGACTATACTAAAATGGGACCACCCAAGAATATACATTGAAGGCGGTAACACAGTAATAATATTATTTTTCAAAATTATTCGTATAATTGGGATGTGGGAATCAACGCATAGACAAAGGTACCTATTGTTTTTATTTATAAACTATAAATTAATCGACGTTTATCACTATATCTGTATTGTTATATTTTCCTTTTTTTTTTTCTCCGTAGTTCCATTTCTGGATGTTATATGTGTGCATCTCTCTCTCTCTTTTTCTTTCTTTCTCTATGTGTATGGGTGATATTTGTATTTTCCAACTGATATTTCCAAGAAAATCGGATAACACATACTTTCCCCCATCCTTGAACAATCATGACTGATCTCCACATGACAGAGCTTCCTG